TGCTCGAAAGAAGAGAGGGGCAGTGTAATGCTTTGTTGATGTGACCGTATGACGTTTGGCGGTCACTTTACGATTTGTCTGGGTCTTGTACACGTGAGCTGGCCTTCCGAATACGTATATTCACCCTCACTTATGCTTTCTGCTATAATTCATGAAGCCTCTAGACACTACATGCATCGCAAAATAATTATTAATTTAGTTTTTAAAAGTAGTAACACAAGTGGTCTCATATAGCTTCTAGCCGCACATTTTTTTGTTGGTGAAACGTGCCTAATACATTTTATTACACCCATTATGAGAATGGGAGTGGGATGTCCTTGAAGTCGATTGCGCGGCAAAGTAAAGGTTCGGTGCCATTCGTTGGTTGCTAATGTCAAAATATGCTGTAAGAATTGAATTCGTGCCTTCATTTGTACAATTCGTATTATGTTTATCATCCCATAAACCATATGACATTCCTCCAGAAACTGGTCCATGAGGACTTCGAGTAATAGCAAGAATGAGCTATTGTTGAGGTGCTACACGGGAGACGTTAACCTTTCGATGACACTCCCGGAACCTATTGTTCCTACATTTGCATCAGGTGGGTTTGCTTATTCTTTATTGCTTGATCTTAAAGATTTGGCTAATTTCTGTGGAGACTCTCTTTTTCACACCGCACAATTGGAAACTATTTTTACATCTTCACACTCACACTATTTTAAAACAGCGACAACGACTCTTCATTTAGCGCATCGTTTTTGTTTGCTCCAACGCCCACTTTACTTTTTAGTTCTCTTCAATTTCCACTAACATATCAAATAATCCGTTTTGCATGTACAGAGCTCTAGGATTTCATGAATCCTTTGTTCCAAAGATTAAAAATTTTTCTGAAGCTGTAAAAAGAAATCGCTTGACTTTTGATGTATGTATCATAGAGCAGCTTACAAAATATAAAGAAAAATAAGCAGCTGCGTGGTGCTTGCCTACATTCCATGAATGATTTTCTGCAGCATATAAGCTGAAGCATCATGGTAGAGTTTGTGTCAATAAGTCACTAATTCTCGTTAAAATGAACTTGTAAACAAAATCTGATAAAATGTGATCCTAGGTTTATCTCAAAGGCTGGTATGGGTCGGCTTTTCGGCCCCACCATGGCGACATATGAGGCTGAAGAACAGAAAAGGATTGCAAATGGGCAACACACCTTCCATTAAATATTTTAAAAACTGCAAATTCAATAACTTTTAAAGCTTTAGTTTTGTGGAGGTAATTATGAGACCGTTTTGTATGTGCATATTTTCGAAGTAATTTTGGTCTCTTTCAACGGTAAAGCTGTTTTATTTGAACCACAAATGTCAAAAGGTTGAGCCTAACGGTGCATTGAGATTGTACGAGGTCTTAAAATCAACCATATTTCTTCAACTGCCAGCATCAGAATTCTTAGCACCCAGATTGCCAGTATAATTCGTATTTACACGGCCATGGTAAAAGATGGTGAGATCATCCTGGAATTTCCCTTGTCGCCCTTCAAAATCGCGACAATATTTTAGCACTGAAGAATTTTGCATTAATTTTACGATTTAATTATTTACTTGTAAGAGGTGCCTCGGCTATTCTGGATGCTTCCTTCTGTACTTCCTAAGATTGGCTTTTATTGACTCCACTACCCCTCTTGTCTTGGTTTGTCAATAATTCCTGGAACAATATGCTAGCGGTTATTGTTAGGTTGGAGTCAGTGTCGAAGCAAAATCGTTTGCTTTCGAAATAACACGGCTGGACAGATTTGCAAGATAAATGGGTGGGATACGGTATAAGTACACGGCCTTTCCGCTTTGCTGACACAGATAGCTCATAGAATCTATGGCTGTAAAGTGGAAATCGACCGATGCGACTTTGTTGCAAGTTGTAGCTTGTGTCTCACCTTGAGATCGAGTCCACAAAAGTTGTCGTATTTACACCAAGAGACGCATTTCGGCTTTTACATGAAACTGCCCTAGGGAATAACAATATTAACTAGTTCCCCTCTAACTTGGAGTGGTCGATTCTCCTGCGATTAATTTCAGCTGGCTTTTTAGCCAATCGGTCTGCCAATCTTGTATCTGCAAAGTGAAAACCAAATTTCCGCAAATTAATTTCGTTGTGTTGGATCAAGACACCACCTAACAAAATCAGGTAAACTTTAAGACAGTCGACTGTCTTTTGTTAAACGGGGCTGTAAATCTACATTATTTAAAATTATTCAACGTATCCGATACCGGCAAGCAATTTTAGTCGTTAAAAAATTGTTGCATCCATTTAGGAGCGGCTGGGATTAACAACTCCCGGAAGCTAAGGTGAAAGTGAAAAGGTTCTAAAATACGACCATTCATACAGATGCATCAAATGCTATTTTGTCTGCAGCACTTGCATTTTCACGCTGGAAGCACATTTTTGAAGTCAGGAATTGAAATGCAGGAGATTTATTGGCATACATTACAGAGATATTTAAGTTGACTTAAATGGAGGCTACTCGGGATTCATGCAAACTCATGCACGCTTGACAAGTCCACAAAACATCATCCTTCCAGATTCTTCAATCTTTATTTCTTTTAAAAGCAAATTTGTTAAAAAACAATGCCTCGCATGTGCCACCATTCTCCTGCTTAATATTATCGCACAACTGTTCATTGTTCACTGAACATTGTTTGTGAGAATAAGACGTTTGTAAATTAAAACTATTTTAAGGAAACAAAAAGTGCCAAACAAGTTCAGCTACTCCTTCTCGTTGGCCTTCTGGAGAAATTTTTGGCCCAAAACTGTTTTCAAAGAGAGGTGAGGAGCTCCGTATTGTTCAACATTTATAAAATTCCGCCTTTAATGGAATTCACTTCTTAAGAGGCAAAAGGTGATGGCAATTTTATGGAACTGTATCTTATTTCAGGAACCAAAACCAACTTAATAGAACGCAAGATGTACAACAGGACTGGATATTTGACAAAATACAACACGCCGAGTAGCCAACACTCGGAGTATCACCTTATCATTTTAACAATTTGCATATTTGATCTGCGTAACCGTGACCTTAAGGAAAAAATGCTTCATTGCCTAAGGTGAAACCACAATGATTGGACCGAACAATGTAGCCAAACGTTTGTAACTCATTTTGCATATTTGATTCATAATGCAAAATTTATATCATTTGCCTTGAGAAGAAACTTATTGCACGCATGGAATGATACGAAGCAAGAAAGAAATGAGGTTATAGACTCCGTCTAAAACTGTAGGTGTCAAACAGCTGTGACTAAATTAGCCAAATCACAAATCTTGGAAGTAGTAACAATAAAATACCCACTGGACTTAAAAATAAATAACGTAGGATCGATAAAATCGTGAAACAGTGTTCGCTGGAGTGACCTCTGGCTGTGACTGAGGAACCTAATGGCGGCGAACCGTGCGCACCTTGTAAACACCGATTTCGGATCACTGTTACTCTAAAATTCACAGAAAATCAGTCTGCAGACATTACGTTCACAATTGTGAAATGACGCAAGATTCAGACATATCAACAAACAAAATCCTGAAAATGAGATAGTTGACCGAAAGGCAGAAAGTATAAAAGTACTGGGGGTACAATAATGAAGCAGCTTTAGCTAGGTGATTGAAACACTGGTAAACATTACTTGATTGTGACGCTAAATGAACAAAACCGCCTCATTATCCAATCCTTTGAGCAGAGTTTAAATTCGCTTTCGGTAGGCACGGGGTCCCGAGTCGGTACTGAGTTACTCTAGGTAGATGTACCGCCGCATACGAGATTCTATCATGACTCCCAATAGGCAAAACGTCTGTTCAAGGAATTTCGGCCTCCAGAAACAATGGACCAAAATACAAACCTACTTGCGCAACGAATAAAAGGAGCTCATGATCAGAAAGACCAAAACTGGAGAAAAATGGAGAGTTAGACCGAACTACAGTGGGAGGAGTTAATTTCAGCAAATATGTTGACAAAATGTACCAGATATAGACACAAGAGAATTGTGGAGAATGCAGTTCAACCATTGGGGGTTTCTACGTAAGGTACAAAAGTGATAACAGAAAAAGATTATCAGCTGATGATATGGATGGGCACGCACGAAGTAAAAGTGATTTAGCAGAAAACAAGCATGCATACAAATAATGAACGCACGCAACACAAGAAGCTTCCAGAATTACCCATAAGTGAAACATTCGTAGCTGATAACACCCAGAATGCGAAAATAATTGCAGCATTGGTGACATTTTAGCTACAAAAATTGAATGAAAATAGAAGCGTAACTCAAGCTACCGACATTGACGCATAATTGAAGGCAGTTAATGTGAGGAATGTAAAGAGAAAGGACTAACAGTACAGTACCATTAGTAAAGAACTCAATGCATAAAAAGGGACAGATTTATTTACTGATCTGAGCTTTTTACAAATTTCACCGTGTATTTGTCGTCCAAATGTGGGACTTCGGACTCCTCATCTTTATTAGGTCGAGCAGGTTCGCCATGGGGAGAAGAATTTTCATTAGAACAGCCAAGGCCAGCGTGACGGCTCCAGGAGGACTTGTGCTCCAATCCCTCAGTAAATTGCCGCTCCAGATCCTTACCAATTTCTTCAACACCAACTCCAGCACGTTTGTGAGTAACAGCCTTCTCGCCTATCTGGATGCTACCTGTGTGCTTCCGTTGCTTTTGAGCACCCATTAATCGCAGAAACTTTTTCTTACGATCGTTGGAATCGAATTTGACGTCTTCCCATGCATTTGCCGAATGAACAACAGAGGCTTCAAGAGAAGATGCCTTTTTGCTACCACCTTCATGCTCTTTGTGCTTGTGTTTGTGCTTGTGCTTCGATGACTGTTTTACACTTCTCTCTTTCTCTACCGACTTATGCTTCCCCATCCGGAAGATAGACAACACCAAACGATTAAAATCAGTGATTGACCAATCAACTGCAAAATTTCGGGACTCTGAAGGTCAAGGATATTAATGTTATCACAATAATTATACTTTAGCACAAGCATTAAAAACGCTATACATATTTTGCAATATTTAAACCGAATTTAGCACTTATGATTAAAATAAAGCGTTTGCTACATGTGGAGGTAATGAAAATGTTATCGTTAGCCAATCACCATTCAACAGCCCGTAATTGTTCTTATGGCCTCACCGGACATAATCAAACTATGCAGTCTTGCGGTTACTCGCAGCGTTCTTATGCTTGACTGTTTCAATCCTAGTTCCTCGGTTTACTTGTACCATGACAAGGTAACTTCTCGAGTCCGCTTTGATTATGGGCTTTGCGTAAATGCCTTTTAAGCCGAATAATCTGTATTCAATTGTTTGAAATCTTCGTAAATGCATAAGACCGTGTACAGCCTGCAGTCAGTTCGAAAGTCAGTTTATCCTTGAAATTAGGCTGCCTGAATTTTTGACGTGTTTTAGCATTCCTTTTACCGATTTGGTTGACGAGGAATATATTGCATCGCTGCCGCCACTGGAGCCACGTGAACAATTATGTACGCTGAAGGACTTGGAACAGCATTATTTTAACTCCTCAAGACCTCCAAAGCACGCAGCAAGGAAGCTGCACCTTCCAGTCAATCATCCGATCAGGCGACAACTTTGGCCTTTCCTCATTAACAAATATTTGGGCACCTCCATTGAAGTAAGTATCAGTATCTCCTTGAGACTTACTTCTAGGTATTTTTGACCCAGTTTTGCGTATATTATTGCAATACGAACAAATGTTATCGATTTGAACATCATTTTTGTAATCTGAGGGTGCTACAGGTCTTGAGAATGAACTAAGACTTGTTTAGAAATGACTTGTAAATAAGGAAAGCGTCTTTGACTTTTAAACAGTTTTGCATTACCGCTTCTCTCGATATGCTTGTTCAATACAACTACTTCAAAGCTTTCCCCAAATCTCTTGACGCCTTTGCATTCTCTTCGCAACGTATGGTATAATCTTTGAGTAAACCTATCCCGAGACAATAAATCTTGTCTTTTGTAGCTAGGATAGAACTTCAATCTTCAAAATGGTCAAATCCGAAAAGCCAGAGATCTTTGGACCAGATAAGACTTCGCAAATACATTCTGCAGTATGCCTGATAGCTAGTCTGAAAGGCGCCTATTGGAAATGATGATTTGTTGACCAAAACATGTTTGTATTTTCGCGTATGCCAAAAGTAGGTGTTTGGTGTTTTTGTGAGCAAAGTCGGTACGATGTAGTTTTCTGCGACAATTTTGTCAATTTGTCCATCAGATTATTACCCGTTTATGTATTACCATTACTCATCTTTTTAAATTCAAACTTTATGCATTGAAAAGATGATTGACGTACATATTTTCTACTTATTTTCCTACCTACTTCTTACACAAGAGGGTTTCGAAGGCTTGAATTTTTCATGAGATCAGAAAAGAAATTCATGGAAGTTGGTAACCTTTATTAGAGGGTGATCGCATCGTCGTAAGGAGACAGGGGCAGCATTTTAAGCGGGTGCGGTTTAAAAGACTCAGAATGTCATTACAGGAATTTTGACTAAGTATTCTTTGCAACTTCTTAGGGTATAAAATGATGGAAAGCTGGGACGTCCAATAACTTTCGTGCTACTTCTAATTCCGGCACTCAACTTCGAGTCATGTAAAGTTACTGTTACACAAAGGACAAGTGTGAATTTATGCCTTCTTATAAACTATGGATTTACACTAGCTCTGGACCTGATTCGTTCGCGGTGGGTCTTTTGGTTTTGTTGGGTGAGCAGTAGTTTAGAGCATGAGATCATAAGGGTTATTTTGGCAAAATAATCTATTGGGTGAAACTGTTTGTTCATTAAGGAAGAAGCCTGTCATTTGGTGCTTAGACTCGCCTCAATTAGAATTTACTAGCAGCATTTTAGGCAAGTTGTAAGTTATTTAATCGGATGCTCTTGGAGCGGTTCTGTTGGGCGATATTCTTTCGCCACTTGGGCACCTGGTTCGTTCAACCAGCCACATATGAACTGTTGCCTAAAGGTCATTGGGCGCTGGCGGTTCAGAAATAAGCAATTGTCACTTTTGTTCGATTTGAGGATCGCACAGCGCAATCGATGGGCCCTATTCAACATCTTTTATGCAGCAACGCAACTTGGCTTGGTTGCAAGTTTAGTTTGATTTGACAGTAAAGCAATCTAGCTTCAATGAGGCGTTAGTTGATGAACTCGGTTGCAACCACTGATTTGAAGTTCGGTTAGACTTTATCTCTTAATGGTTATTTAGTAAAGAAATTAGCGTGTGTACCTGCGATGGTGGTGAACACTGGATTGATTCTGACCATTGGTGGTGTTATTTTTTTGCTGATAGATCCGTGATGTAGGCAAAATCATTTTTACACTTTTAATTAACTTGTTACGAACTCTCTTGAGTGGATTTGTAGCTCTGCGAAATCCGATCACGCAGTATTTTGGTTCATTCCGAATTTATATATTTTTGTTTTTAAAAGTTGTGGAAAGAGGTCCTCCCTTCTATAATGTCGAAGTGTTTTAATTGCTTAGTATGAGAACACTAATAACTGGGTCGTAAACTAAGGCAGCAACTTAGTAAAAGCCGTTTGAAAATCCTTAGATTTTAATTTTTTGGTGTATTTGGGTGATCTCCTTTTTCTTGATCTGGACGACGAGAAATACCAGGCTTAATTAATAGTGTTTGGTAGCTGTGACGTAAAGTGCAACATCAACCACTGTGCCGTCAACTACACAAGGTGCAAGGTGTGTAGAAATGCCTTAGCCTCCCTTTACTCCCACAAGTTTTATAACCGGTGTGCAAATTACGATTGAGAAAATGATATCGCGTAAAAATTATGAAGTTCCGTGGTCAGAGCTTATGAACAGGATTATGTCCAAAGATTGAAGCGTGCCTTTTTAACACTCATTTGTCGGTCACATTTGAATTTTCAGTTTATGCTTTATTTCTTATCATCTTGCCAACCACCTTTTTCCTTACATGGGTTGATTGATTTTTCCTCTGCATAATGAGGGAGATTCATTGCGTAAAAATGGTGTCAAATCACATTACATTGTTTGGATATCGTATATGAGACCTATTTAGTGCACGCGTTGAGGTAGACGTGATCTGCTTAGAGTACGTTTGAGTTATTCGATCGGCATACTTATAGATCGTGTGACTTTGGATCATCGCGACTACTAGTCTAGTACTTTTTTCTACAGATAAGTTGCCATTTAATGGTAAAGCTGGAAGGCATGGAGATGGGAAGGTAAAAGGTCGAGTAAGATGTACTCTTGAAGCAATTGGGTGGGGATCTTACAATCACACATATTTTGGCAAAATTGATTCGTCTGGTCGGGTGCTCAACCACTCTACTTTTTATGTGTCATCTCCTATGCTTTC